TGTAACGAGGAGTAGCCCTCGCTCACCGCAACTAGAGAAAGCCCGCAGGCAGCAACGAAGACCCAGAGCAGCAATCAATCAATCAATTAGTAAATAAAATGTATTTTAAAATAAATAAACAAAAACAAGTTCCAGGGACTTCCCTGGTGGTCCAGTGGTAAAGAATCTGCCTTCCAATGCAGGGGACAGGGGTTCAATCCCTGGTTGGGGAACTAAGATCCCACATGCCATGGGGCAACAAAGCCCGCATGCCCCAACTACTGAGCTTGCACGCATCAACTAGAGCCCACGTGCCGCAAACTACAGAGCCCACATGCCCTGGAGCCCATGTGCCACAACTAGAGAGAAAATCCACATGCCACAACTAGAGAGAAGCCCGAGCGCAGCAATGAAAGATCCCGCATGCCTCAACAAAGATCCTGCGTGCCACAACTAAGACCCTACGCAGCCAAAAAATAATAATAAACAGAAAATAAATAAATAAAAATAAAAACGAGTTCTGTTTTAAACGTAATAAAACTCTGAGGCAAGTGTGGGATATCCAGGTAGTGAGTTTAGCAGTTAGGTTTAAAGGGGTCAACACGTATCGTGAACGTTATGTGCCAGGCCCTTTTCAAATATTAATTCGCTTAATCTTCACCCTATTCATTGAGATAGCAACTACTGCCACCCCACTGTATAGATGGGGAAACTGCTGTACAGAGAAGTTAAGTAACTTCTCCAAAATTCCATAGCTAGTCAGTTTTGAAGCTGGAATCCCAAACTCAGAGTCTGTGCTCTTGTAGAGTAGGTGAAGTCACAGGCATAGATGTGAACTCGCAAGGAAAATGAGCAAAGATGAGAGGAACAATCTAGGATGAAATATTGGAGAAAAGTATAAGTACCTGTTAAGCCAAAGGTGAAGGGGGAGCCAGAGGAAGGAGCCAGTGTGGGGGTTGTGGGGGGGGGGAGAGTAAGACAGGCAATACGGAAAGTCTTAAGGGCAGGAATTAAGTGATCATATATTCGTAACTCACAACAATCCCTTGCATATAATCTACTCCACATAAATGTTTTAACTGAATTAATAGCCCTATAATTCCAAATAATGATCATATCAAATATCCATGCTTACAGCATATTCAAAAAATTTCATAGGTGAGCAAAACCTATATCACGTATGTCTGTGATTTTTCTAGAATACCAAGAGTTTGTGGAAAACGCAGTGTCATTTAATATGAGACAACAGCTTAGACACCATATGAAATCATTCCATACATTTATGTCCAACTAAGAAGACATTTTTTTTTGCAGAACGCGGGCCTCTCACTGTTGTGGCCTCTCCCGTTGCGGAGCACAGGCTCCGGACGTGCAGGCTCAGCAGCCATGGCTCACGGGCCCAGCCGCTCTGCGGCATGTGGGATCTTCCCGGAGTGGGGCACAAACCCATGTCCCCTGTATGGGCAGGCGGACTCTCAACCACTGCGCCACCAGGGAAGCCCCAACTAAGAAGACTTTTTAAAGCTTTATTCACATCCTACTTTCACAGCAATGAAACATGTTACTCTGTTTTGCATTTTGTTGAAGATCACATGAAATACTGGCTCCTCAAAGCTTTGCAAACGACAGCTACAAAATTGTGTAGTCTCTTCCTAAAAAAGGAGTTAGAAACCGTGTACATGAAAACTAATTACTTGTCATTTGAAGGAGTTACTAGAGCATCTGGTGAATCTTGAGTTGTGCTGCTACAATAAATCTTCTGTGTATCTAAACAGTTTTTGGTTATGCATTCCTTATTATACTTTACAATTTTATACCCTAAACACAAACATTTAGTAGAAAATGAGTTTCCTCACAAACATTTAGTAGAAAATGAGTTTCCTCAAGATACAAAAACGCTGGCCCCCACTTCCAATTCAACACGAGTGTTTTCTAAGTGTTTATTAATCTTGATTTCCATGCCCAAACTCAAAGTACTTTCCCAACTTTAATGCATGCACAAATCTTTCAGAGATCTTGTTAAAATGGAAGATTCTGATTCAGCAGATCTGAAACCAGGCCAACACTCTGCATTTCTAACAAGCTCCCTCCTGCATGATGCGATGCTCTGGTCCACACTGGCTACTCCACTATGGCGCTTGGACCAGAAGCACTGGCACTACTGGGGGCACTTTGAGAACTGCAGTGTGACAAACAACAGACCAATATCATCTGCTGAAGCTGATAACTCTAGGCATTTACATTAAAGTATTTCTCTTCAAATCCATTTACAACTCATTCACTGACATTTTCTTTTTTGTCGGTAGAAAAGGTGACACCTTCTCTTCTTTCTATTCTTTCCATTATCCTAAACTGTGGATCTAATAGCTAAGCCCCTCCACAAGGAGGCCCCAGCTTGTTCTTTCAGGCTTCTCTCTTATAATCCCTGTACTGGGGGCTTCCCTGGTGGCGCAGTGGTTGAGAGTCCGCCTGCCGATGCAGGGGATGCTGGTTCGTGCCCCAGTCCGGGAAGATGCCACATGCCGCGGATCGGCTGGGCCTGTGAGCCATGGCCGCTGAGCCTGCGTGTCCGGAGCCTCTGCTCCGCAACGGGAGAGGCCACAACAGTGAGAGGCCCGCGTACCGCAACAACAACAACAACAACAACAACAACAACAACAACAAAAAGCTGATAATCCCTGTACTGGTCCACAACATGCCAACTGAATGGACTGGTTATTTTCTAAATATAAACCATGCTCTCTCACCACACCCCCTCTTGTTTTGTTTTGGTTTGTTTGGTTGATGCTTTCCCCTATCAGGCCAGTCTCTAGAGCCATCTCTCTCTACTCACCTTGCCTGATTTCTCAATGAGATGTCACCTCACCATTCTCTGAACCAACCACTTGCCCTCACCACAGGAATTTTTCTTTCATTATAATATTTACTACATTCTGCTAGATATGACATATGTTGGTCTTTGCTTTATCTCGGCTATTGAATTAGAAGCTATTTAAGGGTAGGAATTTTTATAACTAATTTTGATATTCCCTGCATTGCATAACACAGTTCCTCACTAAATGCTAAATAAAGCGCCAATAAAATTGAAGTAAAGCATTATTCCTTAATGATGATAAACTTGATCTAAATAGTCTCAAATCACAAATCTAAATTACATTTCTTATTTCTCCAAATACTATTGGTTTCTACCTCAGTCATCACAGAAAATTGGGCACAATGCTTTATTTGCATTTTTTCCAACTCTGACACCTAGAAAATTTTTATTTAATCTTACTTGAATCATTTTATCAGAACTTAAATCCTGAACCAGTCCATCTGGCATTTTCATATTGAACAGTCCAAATGTTTATTATATCAGTTGAGGAAAATTTTGTAATGAAATCTTCCTAAAACCTTTATAAAACTCCACATACAAAGAAAAATAGACCACGAAGCAGCACAGATATCATTACATCTGTCATGCTGAAATACAGCATGGTGACAAAGGTCAATTTTTAGAAACTAGAGGCTCTTCAGAACACCTGGAAGAATCTGAGGTATGAGGAGACACCATGTTTACTTTCAATCACGAAGTCGGCGTTAGTCCAAAGTCAGTCAACTGGACAATTTCTCAAGTACAAACAAATACACAAACAAATCCAAAATAATGTATGATTAAAGTAAACAGTGAGTCAAGGGAAAATATCCTGTGCTAAATTCTGAGGATAAATAAACAGACTAAGAGCATAAGTTAATTCTAACTGATTGTTAAAAATGAGCCCAGGTCAATAAATGTCTCTAACCAAAGGGCGGAAAGTGAGATCAGAATTTAAAAAGTGATATGGGGTTGTGATAACCACCAATGACTGGAACGCAACAACTAATTATCAGAGCTGCATTGCCCCAAAAGCAAGAATTAAAAGAAAGGATCTAATGTCACTGACTACATAAAAAATGTTCTACTTTAGAGCTTCTAGGGCAATACCGAGCATCCTACCTGAAGACCAGAAAGTAACCATATTCGTTAAATCCTGCAAATGACAGTTATTCATTCATTCGTTAATGAGCTTTCCTAACCTTAAAGATTGTGCCTTTGGCAAAGAACAGGTAAGGGACGGGAGTTTCTGGTGATGTTCTGACAGGCAGAATAATGGCTCCCCCAAAATATCCACATTCTGACTTCCACGAGCCTATGAATATGTTACCTCACATGGCAAACAGGACTCTGCTGTGGTTGTGATTCAGCTAAGGACCCTGAAATGGGTAGATCATCCTGGATTATTCAGGTAGGCCCAAGGCCTACCTCACAGTAGAAGGTAGGCCCAAGGTCTACCTCACAGTAGAAGAGGAAGTCAGAGTGATAAGATGTGAGGAGAACTCAACAACCTACTGTTGCTGGCTTTGAAAGGAAAGGAAGGGGCCATGAGCCAAGGAATGCAGGCAGCTTCTAGCAGCTGGAAAAGGCAAGGAAAGAGACTCTCCTCTAGAGCCTCCAGAAGGGAATGCAGCCCCACTGACATCTTGATTCTAGCCTGGTAAGACCCTTGCTGAACTTCTAACCTATAGAATTGTATAATAAATTTGTGTTGCTTTAAGCCATTAATTTGTGGTAATTTGTTACAGCAGCATTGGGAAACTAATACAATGGTTAACTGCCACGGAAAGAATTCTCTAAAACAGATAACTGCTTTTGAAAAGGGTAGAGTGATGCTCTATAAAATGCTCAGCAAATATGTGAATTAAGATTTAGTCTGCATTACTAAGACATAGACCTGCTCTGCTGTAAAAGGCTAACACACAAATTTTAAAACTAGATTTTATCAAAAGGTTGAAAGCAAATACAATTAACTTTGATAGAAAACCTTGGGTTAGAAAACAAAGCAGAACAAGGTATTTTCAGCCAGACAAGAAGGTGATAAAAAATAAGTAGGAAAATGTGATATTCCTTGCAGATAGCATTTTAAAAGGGACCACCATAGTATCCTTTTCAATAGGCCAGCTAAAAGGCAAAAATCAGCATTTCTTTTAAAGCTCATATTTACCTGATGATCCTCTGGGCAGCATATTGATGGAGAGAACGAAACTGTGCCGACATATTTGCTAAAGCTGCCAAACAATTTGTGTGAAGGTACTTGTCCTGTCAGAAAACAGCAAGTTTAAAACATGCATCGAGTCTTCTCGCCATTTTAAGCAAGGTTAACTAGAAGCAAATGTAAACTCAATTGTCACTGATTTTAGAAAGTGCAGATCCACAATCTGTTTTCTCTAATTCCAAAATCCATAAAGCACTGAAAATCCAAAGTTTTTTCACTGCTAGTTTGGAACCAACATCTGGCACAAAAGATAATGATGCTATTTATGGTCTTCATTAAGCCCACCCTGGAGAATACTGAACTATTTTGCTGCAGAAATATTAATGTTTAGTTACAGTGCGCGGCTCCAGAACCTCATGGTTACATATAGTATAGCATACAAACTATAATTATCTTTCTAAAATCAAAAAATTCTCCGTGCTAAAACATATGCGGCTCCAAGAGTTTCAGATAAAAGACTGTGGAAAGGCTAACCCATGTTAGCCTCCCAGAGGGGCGTAACTGAAAACGGTGCAGTAAATTTGACCACTTCTCTAAGCTATGAATTCTGTATATCGCTTCTCTAGCGACTAGAACTGAAATTTGCTCCCAGGCATAGCAAATACAATCTAGTTGAAATTTTCCTTTTACTCTTTAAAGTATTCTCTTTTTCTCCATTTCTTTCCCATCTGAATTCCTATTTTCTTGTGCTTGTATCTTCTTACAGTTTGTTGTTGCTACTTTTAAAAGGTAAATCAGTTTTATCAGTCCAGCAAAGACATACAACATCTTTTAACTAAATGTGCTCCACTGCTTATTTTCTATTACATGTAAAATAGCTCTGATCATACCACCTATGAAATATTAAGAAGCAGACACTTTAAACATTACCTTAGGATCACAATACAGTGACTATATGTTGGTCTATATTTTTCCACCATATTCCATGAGAACGTTTGCACTCTAAATATTGAGATTGCTTTAAACTACAGTCTTCATTGTGCTGTATGTATAAAGGTAGAAAAATAGCTACGGAATACTTACTCTTGTCCTTGTCATGTTGTACTGAATAGTTCTTATTACAACCAGTATCAGGAGACTCCCCAGTGAAATTTCAGTTAAAACCCGTTCTGAATACCAAGTAATATTTTTTAACATCTGTAATGGGGAAGAAAAGTTTAAGTAAATATGATTGCTTTGGGGAAAAAGGGATTATCCATGTCTACAATTTCTGACAAGCTGTGGCTTTGCTCTGAAGGTGAGTTAAACAGTATATAAAAGTAAACCGTGAGAATTTCAGTTCAAGATAGTGACACTGTGCTGATGTATTTTCTTCTTCTTCCTTCTTAAATATAAAAGAAAAAAAAACAGACAATGCTATCATTAGTAGACAAAAAGGAGCTATATTTTAAAAGGTATGGCACATAGAACAAGTCTGAAAGAAAAACCATCAGAGGTCACTAGTTTGAAAGCAAAAATAAGAAAACCGAGGAGTCTCTTGAAAAAGTGGAGCTATCGTAACAACCACAGAAAATCTCTACGCTTGGGTCGAGGAGAGGCCAAGAATGCAAATTAGCCAAGATCTTCAAGAAGAGACGCGCCCATGCTCTGCTCCAGCTCTGGTGCTCACCTCCAGGCCTTGGTAAGCAAAAACTGTCTAGCTTCAGTTGGTGCAGTTCCACAGACTTATAACATGGGCATCAGAGAGAGAAAAACTGGGAAGCACAGCAGCCAATGCTGGGTTGCCACAATGAAGGAGGCAAAATGCACAAAAACCAACAGGCTCATCTGGCACCAGAACTCCTAGAACGTTCTCTTCCATTGAGGTCACCCTACTTCTTTTCTCCTTGACGCATGAAGCCAATGTGCCACACGCTTTCCATCCATGCCTGAAAAAGGACAAGACTTCTGGCTGATTCCCGCCCTCTCCACTAAGAAGATAAGCCCCCCCTGTAGAGCACAGGAGACCTCCATCATTCATACCTTCCAAAGGAGGTCTCACCACCTTTCAAAATAAGTGAATCTAGACTTTCATTTATAATTATGAATGCACAAGAAGCCACCAAAAACGTAGAGAAATCCAACAGTGAAAAAGATATGGTGAATCTAATCAAGCCTCTGTTCTAATTGCCAGCATATATGAAATACAGAGGACAGAAAAACACGATAAATAACACAATGATATAATCATCCAAAGCCAAATGTATGAAATTCTACTAAACAAATAAGTCAGTTTCTACAAAAAAATGAATGGTGTAACAAGGTGGGAGAGGGAGAGACTGTTACAGGTAACAGTCAAGAACTAAATGCTTTGGAAACTCATTCAAACCAACCAACTCAAGAAAGACATTTTAAAGATAATTGAGAGAAAACTGAATATTAGTAGGTATTTTAAAAATATCGTTGGGCTTCCCTGGTGGCAAGTGGTTAAGAATCTGCTTGCCAATGCAGGGGACACAGGTTCAACCCCTGGTCTGGGAAGATCCCACATGCCGCGGAGCAACTAAGCCCATGCGCCACAACTACTGAGCCCGCACTCTAGAGCCCGTGAGCCACAGCTACTGAGCCTGTGCTCTAGAGCCCGCGAGCCGCAAATCCTGAGCCCACGTGCCACGACTACTGAAGCCCGCGCGCCTAGAGCCCGTGCTCCGCAACAAAAGAAGCCATCGTAATGAGAAGGCTGCAGGCACCGCAACAAAGAGCAGCCCCTGCTGGCCAAAACTAGGGAAAGCCCACACAGCAATGAAGACACAATGCAGCCAAAAATAAATAAATAAAATAAATAAATTTATTTTAAAAAATAAATAAAATAAAATATCGTTGGTTTTGTTGGATGTGATAATGGTATTATGTTTATTTTTTTATGCCTATATTTATCAAAGTGACATACTTAAATATCTACAAATGAAATTATATATATATATGTGTGTATATATATATATATATATATATATATATGATTTACAAGATTAAAAAAATATATTTTAGCCAAAATATAAAAAGCAGAGGGGGTGGGGGGGGGAGATGAAATGAGAACAGAAGAATGTTGATGAATCCATGGGGATTCATTATACTATTTTTTCCAATTATGTTTACATTTAATGCGCTCATAATTAAAAGTTTATTAAATAAACAAATAATAAGAAAATGAATAAATGTGAAACTAAACAAGCAGAACAAACATACCCCCAATTAAACAAAGATAATTTAAGAGGCTGGGGAAAAGTTTTTGAAATTCTAATTAGTATCTTCGGTGAGAACTGACAGAATACTGTATCCATAAAATAAGAACAGGCTACTATGAAAACTGCGAATCACAGAATGAAGAAAAGCTACTGAACATTAAAAATATGACTGAGACTTAAAAGAGAGAGAGGAGGGCTTCTCTGGTGGCGCAGTGGCTAAGAATCCACCTGCCAAAGCAGGGGACACAGGTTTGAGCCCTGGTCCAGGAAGATCCCACAAGCTGTGGAGCAACTAAGCCCGCGGGGCGCAACTACTGAAGCCCACGCGCCTAGAGCCCGTGCTCCGCAACAAGAGAAGCCACTGCAATGAGAAGCCCGTGTACCGCAATGAAGAGTAACCCCCACTCGCCACAACTAGAGAAAGCCCGCGTGCAGCAATGAAGACCCAACGCAGCCAAATGAATAAAATTGAATTAAAAAAAAAAGAAAAGAGAAAGAAATTAGCAGAATGGGCGCTATGGAAAACAGAACTTGGGATGTGAAAGACAAAACTGAGAAGTTCCCTCAGACAACAGCAGTATAAGGCAAAAAGACAAAATATAAGAGAAAAGTGGAGATCCAGTATATACCTAATAAGAGTTCCAGAAAGAATAGACTAAAATCGACCCTTGAACAACATGGGTTTGAACTGCATGGGTCCATTTATATGTGGATATTTTTTTCAGTAAGTATACAGTCAGCCCTCCATATCCGCAGGTTGCATCCTCAGATACTGAGGGCCAACTATGGGACTTGACCATCTCTGGGTTTGGGTATCCAGGGCGGGTCTTGGAACCAATCTCCCGCCGATACCAAGGGAGGACTATAGAAGCAAAAGAGAAAAATTATTAATAGGGCTTCCCTGGTGGCGCGGTGGTTAAGATCCGCCTGCCAATACAGGGGACACTGGTTCGAGCCCTGGTCTGGGAAGATCCCACATGCCACAGAGCACCTAGGCCCATGCGCCACAACTACTGAGCCTGCACTCTAGAGCCCGCGAGCCACAACTACTGAAGCCCACGCACCGAGAGCCCATGCTCCGCAACAAGAGAAGCCACCGCAATGAGAAGCCTGTGCACTGCAACGCAGAGTAACCCCCACTCGCCACAACTAGAGAAAGCCCACGTGCAGCAGCAAAGACCCAACACAGCCAAAAATAATAAATAAATAAATTTATTTTTTAAAATTTTTTAAAAAAGAAAAATTAGTAGCAGAAAATTTCTTTGAGGGGAAGAGAAACTTGCAACACTTGAAGCAAAAATATTGAAAAAAAATCAAAATTAATTCTGATAAGATTTCTGAATTAACAGTATATGAGAAAATCCATTGGCTTCTAGCCAGAAGAAACATGCCAAAATCTATTGGCTTCCAGACAGAAGAAACATGTTATCACCAAAAGAAAGAAAGGTAGACTAACATAAGATTTCTCATCTTGAACACTATATATCTGAAGGACAACAGAACAATGTCTACAAATGTTTGAGGAATAGATTATCATTCTAGAATACTATATCTAGAGAAGCTACCACACAAGGATACAGAAAAGTGAAGACTTGTAAGTATGCAAAGACTCAGCACGAACCACCCATGCACTATTTCTGGGGAAAAAACAAACCACCACACATGTAAGTGCTTAGCTGCCCCTCCTCACCACTGTAATGACAACAACAAAACCATAACAGCCAGATAAAGTCAAGGAAGGAAAATATGGACTACTATACAACAACAACCACCCCCCAAAAAAACCACAATTATAATTCATGAAATGAGGAAAATATAATTAAATCTAAATAATATGGTTGACCTTAATTCTTTGCTAAGATAAAATAAATATTCCTCTGCTAAGTCTGCCTCCCTGCAAATTCCAAACAATATTAAAAATGAGAAAGGGGGCATGGAAGCAGATAAGCATTAAAAAGTAAAGAAATACTGTCTTCAACTTCATGTAAGTGCCCACAAGTGCCTCCACAACAGATTTTTACGCAGTTCAACTCTTTGACAAGAGACCCATGTCACCTAGAATCCGCCATTTGGGTTACAAATAACCCAACAGTGACCTGTGCCGGAGGCTCCACTCAGAGGATGGCATGTACAGATGCCCACTACATGGTAGCTGAGTACTGTCTGCCAAGTAGAAAATGTTACACTTTAAGCATTTCCATTTATTCATGACTAATAACGACCTTAATCAACTAGAAGAGACAGCCTATGTTTAAAACAAATGATAGTAGCTGAAAATACTCAGAACAATGAGATTTGCCAGTTGAATCTTTATAAAGGAATGATGCAATGCTCAGTCCCTCTGATTTACTCTGTAAGGCTGCAGTTCTCAAAATGTGGTCCTGGGACCTAGGGGTCCCTGAGACATTTCTGGAGCATTCTCAAGGTCAAAACTATTTTCACAATAATACCAAGACATTACTTTCCACTCTCATTCTCTCGTGAGTATATAGCTCAGCTTTCCAGAGGCTACATAACATGTCTAATAGCACAACAAATTTAATACAGAGGGAGACATGAGAATCTAAGGCAAAAATGTAAAACAATGCCACTCTCTTGCTAAACTTTTGTTTGTGGAAAATAGTTACTTTCATAAAAATATGTTACTGATGCTAAAACGTAATGGGGTTTATTATCATAATAATTATTTCTAAATGAACTAATCAAATATTTTAAAAATATGTCAGTTTTAATTTCCAATACAGTAAATGTAGAGAACAATAATCCACATAAAGACATTATTTGGTGTCCTAAATTACTTTTAAGTGTAAAGACAAACAAGGTTAAGACTACTGTTCTAAGTCTCCAGGGGAATACTAACCCAGGACACTCATTAGGCAACTTTACTAATGAGAGGAGTCTCTGTCTTTTAAAAGGTCACACTTGAGCATACACACACTTGAGCATAGTTTGGTTTCTCCTCTCTCTTGGCTC